GCCACATGTCTGCAGTATCATTTACATGCTTTGTTGCAAATTCCATATGAGATTAATATGATTCTTTTTCAGTAGTGGCTTCTTTCTTGCCACTTGTCCATACAGGCCAGCTTTCTATAGGGACCAGGATATTGTCGATGTATGAACACTGACTCCCATCTCAGACATGGTCACTGTTGGCTTCACAGTGGCATCTCTATAACCAGTTTTTTGCCTGCCTATCTGCTTAGTTTGAAAGGGCAGCCTGATCTGAGTAGTGACTGAGTGGTACGAATCACATTCCACTTCTTAATTATGGACTTCACCATACTCAGAGATGATAAGTGACTTTGAAATTTTCTTTTAACTTTCTCCTTATCTGTGCTTCTCTACCACTTTATCCCTAACTTGTTTGGAAATCTCCTTGGTCTTCAGAGTAGGTTTGTGGTATCACTATGTGAATTGTGGCTTGAACAGATGCATTTACTTTGAAGTTAAGTTGCACTTATTTTGTGACGTTTCAAACTATTTTATTGCATCTAAGCTGATTTAGGGTTACTGTAGCAAAAGGGTTGAATACTTATGCAATTGAGAATATTCTAATTTTCTTTGAAAATCTAACTTACTTACATAATATCAGCATTTTTTTAACTTTCTCAGTTTGGAGTAGATTGTGTAGATTCTAAATATAAAGTCCCATTTAAAAGTTTCATGATTGTGAACTCAAATGGCAACAAAATGTGGAAACTTTGTAGAAGGGATGAATACTTTTGCAAAGCACTGTAGTAGAGTTTCTATTAGCAGTGGCTGAAGTTATGAATTATTGTCATTTATACTATTAACAGATGCAGTTTAAGATATTCCAATGATATTAAGATTTTTCTTTAGTTCTAAAAATAATGAAATCTGGGATATTATCCACACATAATGGATTAATTTTAAACAAAAAATACCAGTTGGCAGGCAAAACAATGTATATTTTTATATGCTTACTCTGTGTTAGATATTAGTTTCTCGCTTCAATTTAGCTTTATGTATTTTAAACTTTCAAAGTTAATATAGGATTTTCAAACACCAAGAAAAAAAAAATTGCAAAAACAAAAGTTTTTGATTGTTTGTTTGTCCCACATGTTTAACTCATAATAAATTCCAGTGTGACATTTTAAATCTTATGGTGTTGTTGGACATAGCTGAATGATGCAAATTTAGAAATCCTAATGATAATTTTCATTATAAGCATTTTATTAGGAATTACGATTTATTTCACAATTTGTTTTCCCAGCTGCTTCAACTTCTATATCAAGATCTTACGCTCAGTGAAGGTAGAAGGAATGCACCACAACTTCCAGGTAACCTTACTTAATGCAATTCTCTTACTGCTGATTATGCCAAATTGTGCTGTATCATTTACACAAGGTACTTCTCAATCCTCTCACTATGGGTAGGTTAAAGAATGAATGTCACAACCTTTTACAGAGTTTTATTCAAAATCTTTGAACCCGGGCTTGATCCCTGGGACAGACCTCGTAACCATTTTGTGCTTGTTATAGTTTTCATGCTATAAGTTTTAAATTAGTAAGCAAATGTTAACAAAATTTGGCAGCTTGTCAGTAAACGTTACAATGCTTTCATACACAAAATATCTCATTTGTTTTATTGAGTCATAAGATTTGTAAAGCAATGTTTCTCTCATGCCTTTTTTTTCTTTTTAACATTAAAAATACTTTTATGCATCAGAAAATTTTGAAATTTCACATGCAAAATTTTTATAATGTCTGAATAGTTATCAAACATTTCTTAAGAAAAAACTTTATATTTTATCCGTTATTTTCAGTAATTAATCTCTGTACGGGTTCAGTAAATTTGATCGATTTTTGCAACCACCATAAAAAAATTAGGAAATAAACAAAAATTATGCCTCTTTCATTCTAGAATGACCACATATTATAACACAAAAACATAAATGTTTAAACTAAATAGCTTTAATTTCATAACATTATACATTTATATATATTTATTATTTGAGTAAAGATGTTCATTAATTATCAGGATGACTAGCCACACATGAACCTACATTTATTCCAACTGAGTGGAGATGTTCAGCCAATAACTTGTTTTTTTTAGAATGACTAGACTAACATGTTCCAACCACAACTCAGTTTCCATTCAATTTTAATAGAATGATATGCTAAACCTCAATATATTTCCTTTCCAGTTAAATAACACGACTAGGATAACATGTTTCAACCACAACTTTCTACTTAAAGAGAATGACCAACTAACATTTCAATCAGCACTTAATTTTTTCTAGTTAAACACAATGACCAGCATAACTTTTTCAACCAGCACTTAGTAACTTTTCAGCTGAGCAGAAAAGTCAAACACTTTATAAGAATAATATGACTTTTTCAACCAGCTAATACTTTTTATTTGGACATACAAAAATACTCATGTTGGCAGACTGGTACATAAATTAAAGTTGAATTTAGTGTTATTACAATTATTTAAAAGAATACTCAGTTATAGCTTTTTTCACAATTGTTGTATTTCTTTGTCTAAAAACATGAAGAAATACCACATTGAGTTTTATCTTCTCAACTGCAAACACCATGAATATGTAGAAGATGAAAAACAATAAATTTATCATATTCCACAAACACAACTATTCTAGTTAAAAACACCGATACTCACTAAACATTAATATCTCTTTCACCGATATCTTCTAACTGTTCATCTGTTACATTTAGGTTGCCAGGGAATCTGGGATTCTGCATAAATAAATAGTTCAGTTCATCAAAATAAACACGATTATGTAACTTAAAAGTTGACGTTTCTACAAAAAAGTAACAAGATCTTTGTCATTTAGTTTTACACTTTTAAACATTTCAAATTTGTTGAAACTCAAACAATCAGAATACAATTTCACAAGTTTTTTAAAATAATGTGCAAGTTGGAAATAAAACAAGAACTACACCACCTAACAAAACATTTATTCAAATGAAAAATAATTATATAAAAATAACTGAAAAAAAAATACTGTCAAATCAAAGGTTTCTTATATTTTAAGTATACAAACACAATGATGCAAAACCTCAATTATCTTGCCAAGATTTCTTCAACTTTAAAAATAAACAAGACTATTTTTTTTAATACAGGATCTTTCCCTCAACTAGAAGTGAAGTAGGTTTTTGGTTAGCGGGGCAAGGAAAAAGAAACTCCTGTAAGTGTTTCTTGGAGGTGTTGCGTACACTATTGGAAAGCCTAGATACTGTAGTATTCAAATAGGCAATCCATATGATGATAATATATTTCAATCAGGAATAACAAACAGTCAAAGAAACACAAGGTTTTGGAGTGGCAGTATCACTTTACCAGTAATGGTGACACACATAAATTGATTATCTCTTTTTCATTGTCGGTTTAAGGTTGCAGACTTTGTTCTTGATCTTCTGATCTGGTAGAAGGCTACTATTACTATTACTAATGTCCTTGTCTATATCAAACCTATTTTTTGAGTGCTGTCACAGCATCTTTAGGCTTGACAGATGGACTTGCCTCAACAAGGGCTGTCAAAAAGTCTGCTGTGATTGCATCCACAGCGGCTACACAGGTTGCAAGTTCAACCTTGTACAAGCAGGTAATTGAGGGAATAATGGTGATTGATGATGATATGCTGAAGAGTAGTATATAGCAAAGTTCCAGTCATGGTCCATGGGGCTTGGAGCTATGTGCTAAAGATCTATTGGGCTCTGGTCTGAAAAACAGATGCAACGACAGAAGAAGAGGGCTCATGTTGCAGAGCCGTTGGTTACACAAGAAGAACTATCATTAATTACAATCTTCTGATGATGATGTGGCCAGTCACAACTCATTAACTTTTTGTCCAATTTGGAAAATAAATTGTAATCTTCATATCTCGTATGACACATCATGTGCAAATTTCACCTCAATCAGATAAATCCCAGACATTTTACACCTAATCCTTGTCACTGAGGTGCCTCTGGTTGAGGGAGAGATCCTATGTTAATCTTTCAAACATATTGCAATTTAATTAAGATTAACAAAAGTTACTACAACATGCTGACTGTGGTAAAGTTCCTCGCTCTGGAGATTTTTATTATATACTATCATTCAAAACACTATGCATATAAAGGGATACATACTTTTTAATCCATTCAAATAAACCATCAATTAAAGAAACTACAAATTACATTTACCCTTTTATGAAAGTCTAACTTCGCAACAAGAAGATTACAGTAGTTTCGAATTAACTTTCCATAATTTTCCTGTAAGTGCCCCTAGAAATAAAACATCACAATAACCAGACATTAATCACATGTTGAAATTCTTAAGGTTATAATTCACTCATGAAGAAATCACTGTTTCAGAGAACATGATTAATTAACTATTTCATGTGAAAACAAAACATTCAACAACAACAACAAATTTTTTTCTGAGAAAATGACTAAGCATAACCATGACCGTCTCCATTCTCTTATTGAATATTAAATATATATTTTAGTACTATATATTACACTCAATTTCTTAATTTAAAAGTAAATATTAAAAAACACAGATAAACATCGATTTTTGTGTGTCATGTGGTATGTTGAATGCAGCACTGGTTCAAATTAGAAGTTTGTGATGTCAAAATACTAAGTCTATAGTTTCATATGAATTAGGAACTATCGATATTGACAAGCTAGAATATAAAATAAGAGCCTCTTATCTTTTCAATTTGTTAAGATATTGCTCATATAATAAATCAAACACAGTGGCACCCCACTCACCTCTCTATATTTTTGGAAACGCTCCCTTGTATACACTTACTTCTATATATGACATGAATAACCAATCAGAAGCTCAGAATGTCCCCCTAGTGGCTTTCTCAGCCTTATCATTGTGTTTGGATGCCATCTCTTTCTTTTGAACCACGATTTTCAAGAAATGGAAGGTTGTGTCTTTAGTCTGCTCAAAATTTCATATTTTTTTAGACTAAAATAGAGTTTAATTACTAAGCTTGATAAATTATAATGGAATTCTATGGTACTGATATAGTAATTTATGATTTTTTGGTTATTCAACTGTATATTTATAAAACCTAAAAAAAAAATGTTTCGTTTCATATCCTCCATGTGTGAAATTTTAAAAGGTTTAGTAACCTAGTCAACCAACAACCAAGTACAAAGGTTGTAACTGGAAGAGATAACTGTTTGCTTTACTTCTTTATTTACTGTCCTATATTTTAAGAAAAAGAAGTTTAAGAAATTATTTCTAAGTAGCAATAATCTATATACATATATAATGTATATTAATTGAAATGTGACTGTATTTAACAAAATACTAGTATACTAAAACACAGCCAAGACAGGTCACTTTGTGAAGACTAAAGGTCAGTTTTATATTTTTGGATATGGTAACATGAGTGCGCGTGTGCTGCGTCATTGTAACTTCTGTATTGTTAGCCAGGCATGGCTGAAAGGTCAATATAATAAAAATCAGAATAAATGTAGGTTCATGTGTGGCTAGTCATCCTGATAATTAATGAACATCTTTACTCAATCATTCAGAATAAATGTGGGTTCATGTGTGGCTAGTCATCCTGATAATTAATGAACATCTTTACTCAATCATCAGAATAAATGTAGGTTCATGTGTGGATAGTCGTCCTGATAATTAAGGAAAAGTAAATTTGGTGCGTCAAAACACTTTAAAAATTGTTGATCATAAGATTATTATATTGAGAGTAAAATATTGTTAAGTAAACCACTGTTAAAATCGAGACTAAAACATTTTTAATAGTTAGAATGTTATATTCTGTGACTGTTAAAGTTATCTGGATCCTCCTATATACTTTTCTTGTTTCAGTTTTCAGTTGACTTGCGAGATGTTTGACTACATGGATGAGATTCTGACTCTTCAAGCTGCTGGTTTGTTGTGATCTTTCTTTCTGATCTCCTTAAATATTGGGGATATTTTAATCATTGGTAAAGTTAGAATGTATCAATCATAAAATTGTAGGTTTAATTAATACAAATTTAGCGACCATTTTTTATATAGCATTCTTAATTTAAGGTACAGAAATTTTAAACAATTCTTATGTCAAAACATAGTGGTTAGTAACCATTCAAATGATACATTTTTAAGTATTTTTATTTATACCTATTTCAATTAGCAACTGTTGAATTACACATTTGATTATCAGAGGTTAAAATTGAATATTTTAGTGAGTAATGTTTGTAGTTGCACCTTTGGATTAGCAGCTTTTGAATTGTATATTTGATTAGCAAAGGTTAAAATCATATGATATATATAACATATTATATTAAAATAGCTGAAATTATACATTTTATTTGACACTACTGTTACCATGATGCCAAGGAGATTTATATGGTCATCGTGGAGACATTTTTTTATCCAACTTTTATTTTTCTTTATCCTGAAGCCTTTACAACGAGTAAGTGAATTATAATGAAATATTGTGAAACTTTTTTAAAAATGAAATGATACACTTATTTCATGAGACAACTTTAATGCCTACAAGTTGATTTTCAAAGGAATAATAGTGTTTGAAATTAGACATTTAGTTAACAGTGGCTGAAGGTACACATTTTGTTAATAGTGGTTAAAGTTGGAGATTTTGGTTGGTAACAGATGATGTTTATTGAAAAAACAAAGCTAACATAGGAAGAAGTGCAACTGGGATTAGTTTTGAACATTTTAAGCTCTCCTTATTCTATGTTCATCTAATAAGTAATTGAGATTTAATTAGCAACTGATAAGTGTTGGTAAGTTTAAAACTTGACTCCTCTCTATTAAATGGTATATATGATATCATTTATTTAAAGTAAGAAAATTACTTTTTGATTAATTACATAAGAAAAAGACATAATTTAATATGAAACTTTTAACACACAAGATCTAAAGTGTGAACAGTTACTGTAAAAATGTTTAGAAAAATAAATAGGTTTAATAATAAAACCGAGCAAAAGAAATTTATCATTTGGCTTTCTTTTGTTCAATAATGAGCAAATTTTATTAAAACTCTGCCACAATTATTGAGATCTTAAATAGATTTCTGTGTGTATTTCTTTTTACTCCTGATTTAATTCTCATTCTGGTGTTTTAAATTTAACATTCTATACTATACTAAGTATTATATAAGAAAAAAAAAAATGAAAACTCAGTGGTGGCTGTAAAACACACCACAAGATAACAATGGTTTGGTAAACAATACATTTTAATTATTAGAAGTTATTTTCTTAAGTAAGCTTAAAATGTTTGTAATATTCAAGTACTAAATTACGTTTTTCTTTTTGTATGAATTAAATTGTGAATTATTTAAAAAAATTAAACTCCTAAATGCAGTTTAGTTTCCAGATGAATGAAGCATATAAATGTTTTATAAAAGGTTTATTTTCTAGATGAATCAAGAATATAGATATTTTATAAAATTAAATCTATAAATAAGCATATAAAAACCAAGCATATAAATATTTTATAAAAGGT